AATAGAGCTGGAAGGGACCTGGGAGATCTTCTAGTCCCACCCCCTGCTCAAGCAGGAGACCCTGCCTAGACCATTTCACACAAGTGGCTGTCCAGTCTTTTCTTAAAAACCTCCTGAGCCAGCTGTGTGCTGCAGCTGCCAAAAAGGCCAACACAGTGCTGGGCTGCATTAACAGAGGGATAGAATCAAGATCACTTTATAAGGCCTTGGTGAGGCCACACTTGGAATATTGCATCCAGTTTTGGTCACCGCGATGCAAAAAAGATGTTGAGACTTTAGAAAGAGTACAGAGAAGAGCAACAAAGATGATTAGGGACTGGAGGCTAAAACATATAAGGAACGGTTGCTGGAATTGGGTCTGTCTAGTTTAATGAAGAGAAGGATGAGGGGGGACATGATAGTGGTCTTCCAGTATCTCAGGGGCTGCCCCAAAGAAGAGGGAGTCAAGCTCTTCTCCAAAGCGCCTGAAGGCAGGAGAAGAAGCAACGGATGGAAACTAACCAAGGAGAGAAGCAACCTAGAACTAAGGAGAAACTTCCTGACGGTTAGTACAATTAACCAGTGGAACAACCTGCTTCCAGAAGTTGTGAATGCTCCAACCCTGGAAGTTTTTAAGAAGAGACTGGACAGCCATTTGTCCAAAATGGTGTAGGGTTTCCTGCCTGAGCAGGGGGGTTGGGCTCAATGACCTCCAAGGTCCCTTCCAACTTTATTATTATATTATATACCGTATTACGTTTCAGTCTCCGTGCCTTGAATCGTCTTAGTTCCTCTTCTCTGCACTTTTTCCCAAAGTCTCCACATCAATCAAAGCATCAATCAGAGTCACAACGATGAAAGCATCCCAAGTCCGCACTGGTGGAGGTGGGCTGAATCCCTCTCCCAATTTCCTGCTTGCGGGATGCTCCGCAAGGCTGTCTCTCCCCGGCCACGCTGCCCTTGGGGTGGGCTTGTCATTCTTGTTTCCTGGCACACGAGGGTGCTGTTGCTTTTTTAAAATTTCCCTTGCCCTGTTTCCCCCCCCCCAAAAAAAGCAATTGCTGGGAAAAAGAGAGGTGGGGGGGAGAGAGGACCAGTTTTTGTGAATGAGTCCAGCTTCCAATGGAAGATCTGATTCCATCCATGGGTGAATCGAACGGAGCTCCCCAATCTGATTTATCGGTTTAGTTTGCTTCTAAAAATGGATTTTCCCCACAGAATCAAGGAAACCTTTAACAGAATAACAGAGTTGGAAGGGGCCTTGGAGGTCATCTAGTCCAGCCCCCTGCTCAAGCAGGAGACCCTACTACACCCTTTCTGACAGATGGCGGTCCAGTCTCTCCTTGAAAGCTTCCAGTGATGAAGTTCCCTCAACTTCTGGTGGGAGGCTGTTCCATTGGATACAGATTCAAGTCTGTTTGAATTGTCTCTGATTGGAACCGCTGGAGTTAAAGAGGCCAGATAAAAAGTAGATAAATTGAAGGAGGTTGGGGACCGATTCCTTGGTCAAGGATGGATGGGAAGATTCCTTGAGGACTCTTTCTTTCTACTTCAATCCCCCCAATCCACAAAATAGATACAAAATAGACCGATGCTTGTTAGCGAAATAGACAAAACCCCAACAATATGCCACAATGTCACAGGATCACAATAGTGTAAGCGGGGAGAAATTAAGCAGAGGACACATAAAGCAGAGGAGAGGTGGGCTTCTCCCATCTCTCCGGAGGTCTTTAAGAAGAGAAGGGACAGCCCTTTGTCTGGAATGGTCTAGGGTCTCCTGCTTGAGCAGGGGGTTAGACTAGAAGACCTTCAAGGTCCCTTTCTACTCTGTTATTCTGTTATTCCTTCTTTGATTTACAAGATGAAGAGTTGGTCTACAGACATGACGGGGTCCTCCAGATTTCTGGCGAGCTGGGTTGTGACTCCTGGGGGTGGGATGGGGTGACAAAAGTTGGGTCCCTTCTCCAATGTTCCCTGAATGTTCCTGATCTCCATTCCTCTGTCTGTGGGGCACAGAGGCTGGCTTGGGCCATGCCACTAAGCCTGCCATAGAATGCAAGAATCGGAAGGGACCTTGGAGGTCTTCTAGTCCAACCCCCTGCTTAGGCAGGAAACCCTATCCCATTTCAGACAAGTGTCCAATCTCTTCTTAAAAGCTTCCAGTGTTGGAGCATTCACAGCTTCTGGAGGCAGGTTGTTAATAATAATAATAATAATAAAGTCAGAAGGGACCTTGGAGGTCATCTAGTCCACCCCCCCTGCTCAGGCAGGAAACCCTATTCCATTTCAGATAAGTGGCTGTCCAATCTCTTCTTAAAAGCTTCCAGTGTTGGAGCCTTCACCGCTTCTGGAGGTTAATTGTTCTAACCGACAGGAAGTTTCTCCTTAGTTCTAGGTTGCTTCTCTCCTTGATGAGTTTCCATCCGTTGCTTCTTGTCCTGCCTTCTGGTGCTTTGGAGGATAGGTTGACCCCTTCTTCTTTGGGGCAGCCCCTGAGATATTGGAAGACTGCTATCATGTCCTTCTCTTCATTAAACTAGACATATCCAATTCCAGCAACCGTTCCTTATATGTTTCAGCCTCCAGTCCCCTGATCATCTTTGTTGCTCTTCTCTGCACTCTTTCTAGAGTCTCAACAACTTTTTAACATCGTAGTGACCAAAACTGGACGCCGTCTTCCAAGTGTGGCCTTACCAAGGCCTTGTAAAGTGGCATTAATGCTTCACCTGATCTGGATTCTATCCCTCTGTTGATGCAGCCATGCTCCCCTCTTCCTCCTTAGGCATCTGAGCACGCAGGTGGCCTCTTCCATTATCTCCTCCAGCTTGGTCAGCAACTACGAGGAAATCAGCACGTCTGTGCAGTACCGTCTGCGGCATCGGGTTCAGGTGAGGCTACCGAGAGTAAGGAAAGAACCCGGGGGAAGGCAGGAGAAAGGAAGGGGGAAGGGGTCGCTGAAGGACCTCAGGATGGACCGTTTTCTTCCATCAAGGTCTGTGTTTCCTTGAGGGAAAGCGTTGGGGCAAAGGTCCACCTGCAGATGCCCTCTCTCCTTTCACCCTTCATTGTTCCCCACACACACACACACACACACACACACACACACACACTTCCCCCCCCAAACTCAAGACAGTTCCCCTCTCCCCATCATTTGCTGCCCGACCAGTCTTCTCAGGATCAAAATGGTTCACCAGAGGTCTAAGTTGACCATCTCCAGCCTTGAAACCCAACTTTCCTTGGGGCTTTTGAACTTCTGAAGATCAGCACGTCCTGGGCAAGGCGCCTTGCATTTTTTAAGAATTAAATATAAAGGTCCTGTTTTGCAGGTCACCCCAACTTCAACAACAAAAAAAAAGGAACGGAGTGGATCTTGGTTTGTGGTTAGAGGAGATTGGGCGCCTTGATAAATTAAACAAGACCTTTCCTCCACATAACACAACGCTCAGGGAGATTTAGGGAAATTTGCGGCTGGTCCCATCCGGTCAACTTATCAAGATGAACCCAAGAGAACTTGCAAGAAGTCCACAACTGAGTATTTTTTTTGGGGTGGAGGGGGCGATCAGAAATTTTTTTCCCAGCCAGCATCTTCAATATTTCCTTTCCAGAGAGGTGTTTTATCTTCTCTCTGAACTTCTTTCTCTGTAGGCTTTACCGGACCAGCTTGTGGAACCAGTTTGTGCTTTTTGGAACTTCAGCAGAAGGTAGGCGGTTCGGAGAAGTCTCCCAGTTGCGTTTTTGGGAAAGGCACGGAAAGAAAGAATTCAGTAAAATTGAGTAGACTTTGTGGGATCCTTGTAGTACCATCTCTTGAAGGTTGGAGCTGTCTAATGAGGAGAGATGGACAGAAGGTTCCTGCTCCAACCTTCCTCTTAAAGCAGACTGAATTCAAAGCTTATCTGCATCCACCTCAGGATGCTTCACTTGGGGACCAAGCTCACCCTTATGTAGAAGACCCTTCTTGAGTATGCCCAACCTGTGAACCAACGACAACAGCCACCAACAAAATCCATCCAACCATCTCTGAACATGGTCTGCTAAGCACGCTGCCCTATAAGTACACCACATACAACTTCACTTCTCAGTTGTTGAACCCAGTGGTTGTGTTGTGTTTGAAGTAGGTCAGTGATGGTGAACCTTTGAGAGACCGAGTGCCCAAACTGCAACCCGAAACCCACTTATTTATCACCGGGTGCCAGGTGGGCATGGCCCACTGAGTGGGCGTGCCTGTGGTGGTCATGGCAGACTGGGTGGGTGTGGCCAAGGTGGGCATGGTCACCTCGATGTTGCTCGTGGGGAGGGACGCCTGTGGGAGCTGGGCAGGGTTGGGAGAGATCTGGGGGGTCTCTGGCAGATGGGGCAGTGGGCAGGAGGCCCAGCATAGATGGGGAGGAGGCACACAATGCCTGATATCATCGGCCTCAGCACACAGAGGCCAGCGAACGTATGGGGGCCGACAGTGTCCGTCAGCAGCCACAGCCTGCCGGCCCCTCAACCGGTGCACTCTGGGGCTCCGCAGCCCACCGCCAGCAGTTCAGAGAAGCCGCTGAGGAGGCGATGCAGTGGGTCGCGCCCGGGAAAAGGAGAGCATGCGAGGCCAGGAGGGATGGGATGGAGGGGAGGGAAACCAGTCATGCTGGGATGCATCCGGCCACGTGGGATCTTGGTGAATAAGTGGGCACCTGGTTGAAGAGGGACGGTTGCCATCTCCGGGGCATGGAGCACGTGCCCACAGAGAGGGCTCTGAGTGCCGCCTCTGGCACGCCTGCCATAGGTTCGCCACCACTGAAGTAGGTGAACCAGGGAAGGTGGTTTGGTGTTGTTTTCTTTAGGACAACTTTTACGAAAGGAGAAGGAGAGTTAAGATCTCTGGAGGTGGTTCTCAGCTTTTTCCCACCGGCAGCTTTCCCTGGGGGGGTGGGGGCATTTGGTGTCCAGAACGTGAACATCTGGGCCCAGAACTTTTCCCTGTTCTTCAGTCCTGAAGGTGTTGGCGGCTGGTCCACCAGAGGTTGCTCGGTCTCTTCCTCTCAGGAAGATCTAACCACCTGTGCCTGTAACCACACCACCAACTTTGCAGTCTTGCTACAGGTCTATGAAGTTCAGGTTAGAAGGGGGTCAGGAGGTTCTCATTCCCTGTGGAGGAAGACATTTCTTGGGGGGCTTTGGTGGAACCCTGGGGAGAAGCCGTGGAACGTGGACCTTCATTTGGCTTGCACAACATTGTCCACATTCCCTTTTCTAGACCCCCACCTTGCGTTTCATCCCTTCCCTTCCTTGATCAGATTGCCCAAGAGCTGAACTGGCCCATTGCATGGAACCTGTTGAGTTGGGCCCTCGGGGGCCATCTCGCCTCTTCCTTACCTTCATCACGTTGTCTCTTCTTTCACACAGAGGAGTTTAGAGGAGGAGTCCACGCTGAAGACCCTGACATTTGTTGGCTGTGGTGTGTCCTTCTGTGCCTTGATAGTCACCTTTGTGCTCTTCTTAGCCGTTGGGTGAGTCTGAAGTAACACAAACGGACGCACGCTTGTTAAATCAGCTGCATTCTTGGGTCCCCATGGCATCTTGAAACGAACCAGCCAAGTGATCTCCATTCACACAGCCTTCTAAAACATCTAACCGAGATGAAGCCCAAAAAGACCTGATAGGTCATGTGAATGCATCCCTGAGGTTTCTCCTTGGCCAATTGTGTGGGGCTAGAAGGGATCTTGAAGATACACTCTCCTAACCCTGTCTAACTTCTCAAGGGTCCATTTAATATCTTTTTTTAAAAAATTTTTCTTTTTCTCTTTACAAAAAACAAAATACGAAGTACATTTTTCTTTCTTCTTAACAATGCTATGTCCTATATCTCTTACATTTATTTACACTTATTTACATTACCTCTCATACTTTTTTATCCCTCAATTCTAACCAATTGTAATACCTGTCCCATATCTCATAAGATTCTGTCTTGTCTTTTATTTCTAAAGTAAGTTTGTACATCTCAGCACGTTCTAATATCTTGTAAATAATTGTTACATTTGTTGGTATATTTTCCCTTTTCCAGCATTGCGCATATGCAATGCGGGCAGCAGTTATTATATGTATAACTAGCTGTACCCGGCCACGGGTTGCTGTGGCTCAGACAGGTTAAATGTTTTTAACCTGTTACAGGTGTGACATCTATATAATAGTAGGTATATAAAAACACGCGCGTATTTGAATGCAACGTTGTGTCAAAATTTCAAAGCAATCAGTGAAGAACTTTCGGAGATTTAAGATTTTGAACAAACGAACATTTACATTTTTATTTATATAGATGATGTATTGAAGTTGTTTTTCCATCTTTGGATTGATTATGCCTAATAAGAATATTTCGGGTTTAAGCTCGATTTGTTCTATTGTTATTTCCTGTATCCATCTCCTTATCTGCTCCCAATAAGAATTTGCTTTGCGGCATTGCCACCACATATGATAAAATGTTCCCTCTTTATTTTTACATTTCCAACAGTCTGGGTTCATCTTTCTATATAAATAAAAATGTAAATGTTCGTTTGTTCAAAATCTTAAATCTCCGAAAGTTCTTCACCGATTGCTTTGAAATTTTGACACAACGTTGCATTCGAATACGCGCGTGTTTTTATATACCTACAGTATATTGTATAGATATTGTATAGATATTGTACACCTGTGACAGGTAAAAACATGCTTTTTTGAAAAACAGCGCTATCTGTTGGACGTAAAAGCAACACACGCTTTTACCAAACTGAGCCACAGCAACGCGTGGCGGGGGACAGCTAGTATTTTTATATATTTTAGCCAATCTCGCCGGTGCTAAATGCCACCCATAGAACATTTTATATTGGTTTTCTTTGTATGCGGTTGACAACGTTAGTTTGTAATTTTTGTTCCATTTAGTATCTTTAGTAGAAACTAGTGGGATACACTCAGTAGAGCTTGTGCCAAAACATTTACTCTTCCTTTCAACAGGGTCCCCAAAAGCGAGCGAACCACGGTGCATAAAAACCTGATCTTCGCCCTGGCTGCTGCAGAGGCCCTGCTCATGTTCAGCGAATTGGCGAAGATCAACCAGGTCAGGAGAAGAGCTGGGAAACAGGAGGAGAACCACTTAGGAGATGTCCTACCTGTGCTAGCTGAATGGGGCCCACAGAGAACCCCAAATCCTCTCCTTCTTCCACCAGACATCTGACCCCAGGACTCCCCATTTCTCCCCAGGGCGTTTGCTTCGCTGTCACGGCCTTTCTCCACCTTTTCTTCATGGCGGCCTTCGCTTGGATGCTGGTGGAAGGTCTTCTGCTCTGGAGCAAAGTGGTGGCCGTCAACATGAGCGAGGATCGGAGGATGCGTTTCTACTACGTGACCGGTTGGGGTCTGTATCCCAGGGGTCAAGAAGGGGAAGGGGCCACAGGAAGATCGGGCTAGACTGCTTCTTCCTTTGACCCAGTTGAACCAACTTGTTCAAACCTAAGCTGGAGTAGATCAGAAGTCTACTCTGAGCCGTAGGAGGTTCTCCCCACTCATCGTATCACGATGGGAAAGGATGGAGTTGATGTCCAGTAGGGAAGGACCACATTGGGGAAGGAGCAGTCAAGTCCATTGTATGGAAAATGGCCAACTCCTCACGGCGATTGGATGTCTCTGTAGCTAGGTTGCCCTGAAAAGAACCACAGATAAGCCAAATATTTATGGAGATTCTCAGTCATCCAGGTCAGGGTTGTCCCAAAGATGCTTTTTCAGGAGGCAACTGGACTTTCTTGGTTTTGCCCCTGAAGACGTTTCGCTTCTCATCCAAGAAGCTTCTTCAGCTCTGATTGGATGGTGGGGAATGGAAGGATTTATACTCCTTGCAGACAGCTGGTCATTTGCATTCTTTGAGAGAGTCGTTGAGGCCACTTGGAGGTTTAGCTGTGTCCTAATGTGTCACAGATAGACAGTCTCCAGGTGGCATCAACGACCCTCTAAAAGGATGCAAATGACCAGCTGTCTGCAAGGAGTATAAATCCTTCCATCCTCCACCATCCAGTCAGAGCTGAAGAAGCTTCTGGGATGAGAAGCGAAACGTCTTCAAAGAAAAACAAGAAAGTCCAGTTGTCTCCTGAAAAAGCACCTTTGGGGACACAAATAAGCCAACAATGTTGTAGATATCTCTATTGTGCAAACGAAACCTGTTCTATTAGTATATGGTTGAAGAGGGTATGCAGATACATCAAAGCATTATGAGTAAAACAAGATTAATTTAAACACATAGCCTCTGTCTCTCCCTGTGTGATTTGAAACTCGGAGAAGACAACTTGAGGGAGCTTCACAGGATAGCCCAAGAAGGAAAAAGAATGTGCTGGTTGGAGACAATGAAACGCTCAAGCAGAGGTCAACTGTGCTTCTTCCTCAATGGTCAAGTGGATCATTGGAGATGGGATGAAGACACAGACCGGCCAATCTCTCCCCTTCTTTCCAGGGCTTCCTGTGCTGATTGTGGGTGTCACCTTGGCCACTTCGTTCAACAAATACGTGGCGGACAATCACTGTTGGCTGAATGTGCAGACAGAGGTCATCTGGGCATTTGTGGGACCCGTCCTCTTTGTCCTAACGGTAAGGGCCAACATCTATGGTTGACCTCCTGGCCTTCCTCATCCACCCTCTTGCAGTTTTGAAGGCCCAGAAATTAAGGACCTTTAATGTCCACCATCAAAGACCTTGGCTTGCAACTTCAACGTTCCTGTGTTTTTTGCCTCCCTCAACAAGGTCATCAACCTCACCATCTCGCCCCTCCATCCATCGTCCATTGCAGGTTGCCTCTCCTTAACTCCTCAAGTATCTCCAACATCTAGGGGGGCTTCCAGAAAGATTTTTTTCTCAGCCCCATCTGGCATCAGTGGGGTTGAACTTAGAATCCTCTGCAGGAGAAGTTTTTATACTTGCTACTCCCCGCCCCACCAACCTTTAGAGTTCGGTCCTCACAATTTTGAAAGACGGACTGAATTAAGCGGACCTTTAGATAGATGTTGTGTGCCAGGTCAGTACATTATTTAGGAGCAGGTTCACCACACCTTCAGATTAGACTTTATTTCTGGCTCTGCCTGCCGGGTTCAAGCTTATTTCTGTAGACCAGTAACAGAATAACAGAATTGGCAGTGACCTTGGAGATCTTCTAGTCCAACCCCCTGCTCAGGCAGGAGACCATATACCATTTCAGACAACAGCTGTCCAATATCTTCTTAAAAATTATCTGGAGCTCCCACAACTTCTGGAGACAAGTTCCTTCCTTCCTTCCTTCCTTCCTTCCTTCCTTCCTTCCTTCCTTCCTTCCTTCCCTCCCTCCCTCCCTCCCTCCCTCCCTCCCTCCCTCCTTCCTTCCTTCCTTCCTTCCTTCCATCATATATTTTATCTATCTCAAAATCATAGAATCACAGGGCTGGAAGGGACCTTGGAGATGTTCTAGTCCAACCCCCTGCTCAGGTGGGAAGCCCTATGCCATTTCAGACAAACGGTTGTCCAATTTCTTCTTCAAAACCTCCAGTGATGAGGGAGGGAGAGAGGGAGGAAGGAAGGATAGCAAAATAATAGAATAACAGAATCACAGAGTTGGAAGGGACTTTGGAAGTCTTCCAGACCAACACCCCCTCAAGCAGGAGACCCTACACCATTCTAGACAAATGGTTGTCCAATCTCTTCTTCAGTACCTCCAGTGTTGGAGCACCCACAACTTCTGAAGGCAAGTTGTTCCACTAATTAATTGTCCCAACTGTCAGGAATTTTCTCCTTAGTTCCAGGTTGCTTCTCTCTTTGGTTAGTTTCCATCCGTTGCTTCTTGTCCTGCCTTCAGGTGCTTTGGAGAAGAGCTTGACTCCCTCTTCTTTGGGGCAGCCCCTGAGATACTGGAAGAATGCTATCATGTCCCCCCTCATCCTTCTCTTCATTAAACTAGACATGCCCAATTCCAGCAACCGTTCCTTATATGTTTTAGCCTCCAGTCCCCTGATCATCTTTGTTGTTCTTCTGTGCACTCTTTTTAGAGTGATTAAGGCTCTACCCCATTGGTGACCAAAACTGGATGCAGGATTCCAAGTGTGGCCTTACCAAGGCATTGTAAAGCAGTATTAATACTTCACGTGATCTTGATTCTATCCCTTTGTTAATGCAGCCCAGCACTGTGTTGGCTTTTTCGGCTGCGGCTGCACACGGCTGGCTCCTATTTAAGGGATTGTCCACTAGGACTCTGAGATCCTTCTCACAGTTACTACCATAGAGCCAGGTACCGCCCATACTACACCTGTGCATTTGGTTTTTCTTGCCTAAATGTAGAGCCTTGCTTTTTTTTCACTACTGAATTTCATTTTGGGCAATCATTCTCGGTTGTCCAGAAGGAAAATTTCACGGTCCTTGGAAGTCTTATTGATGTTGTTGTCATTTTAGGTGAACACCTTTGTGCTCTTCCGGGTGGTGATGGTGACAGTCTCCAGTGCACGCCGGCGGTCACGGATGCTGACCCCCAACAGCAGCCTGGAGAAGCAGATTGGGGTTCAAATCTGGTAAGTCGGGCCCGTGTGTGCACGTGTTCCTCCTCGTGGGAGCAAAACTAGACGTTTGTCAGCTCTCCAAATCATGTTGATATGATTCTGCTTCTCCGTGACCTTTGGCATGGATGGACAGACAGACATTTTTCCCCCAACCCCCCTTACAGTCAACAAAAATTAGAACTGGGCATTTATTTATTTTTTAATTGAAAATTTTATAAAATTTTACAATATAAATCCCCCCCTCCCCCAAACCCAACCCTCCATCCCTCCCCCCCCTCACTTCCCAGAGCCAATCACAGGATTAACAATAAAATATCATAATCTAACTAACATTAATCAACTATTAATCTAACAAATCTATAACTTCCTTTAACTCTCTTTTAAAACAAATATACAATTATTAAATATCATAATATTAACATAATTTTGAATATTAAAAATCAGAAGTTCATTCAAAAACCAGATGATATTTTTGGGTTCCATATTTCGACTCAATATAAACAATCCATCTTCTCCAAACCAATATATATCTTTCTTGTGAATAATCCTTCACATAAGTGGAAATCTTGGCCATTTCAGCTAAGTTTGAGACTTTAACTACCCAATCTTCTATAGTAGGTAAACCTTTCATTTTCCAATATTGAGCAATTAATAATCTTGCAGCCGTTATAAGATTTAACATCAGAACTGGGCATTTTTGATTCAATGGATAAGCCAGAGGACGGTTTGATCACGTCTCCAAAACTGTTCAAAACTTGGGCATCTACGACTTTTGCCCAGACATAGCATCAGTGGGTCAAAACATCTTGACGTTGGCGCATGGATCTGATTCAGAAGAAGGACACATTGCTGAAAACGTGGCAATTGTGGCAAGGCGTCTTAGCTTCCGCCAATAATTCAACACCAAAAGAAAGATTTCCATCACCTCCCCCGCCATCATGTCTAGCTTCTTGGCTTCACAATTTCTGCCCAATGTTTCTTGACGTCAGGTTAGAAACCGGACCAATAGAACACAACATCTTATCTTTCCATCTTTGGAAGGGATGGTTTCCACTTCCCCCTCTGCTCCTGCCAAGCCACATCTGGATGCTTGGAGCCACCCCATCCTCTCTTCTCCTCATCTCTGCCCTGCTCAGGGTCAACCCATCATCTCCCCGAGCTTTGCTCCGATAAGGCCAAACGGGTGGAAATCTCTTGTTGTTTTTCAGCTGGCGCCGTGGGCAGCCACAAGACACACACAGTGTTCCTCTGGTGGTGTAAATATCCTCCAGGCTGTTTGCAGTGCTGAAGGTGGAGGCCTTCAGGGGCGGGAGGGCGAGATGACATCTCTGCCGCTGGTGGCTTTGGAGGCATCTTCACCCCGGTTGGGTGGGATGACGTAGAAGAGCCAGCGAGACCCCGATTGAACCGGCCTGCAAATCAAAGATATATTTTTTTTAGAGTTGCTTATTTATTTCCACAGGAGTCCATCGTGACTCCTTTGGCTACTTGCAAAAGCTCCGATTAAGAAAGGATAAATAAATAAAAAAGAACCTCAACCACAAACAATGTGGTGGTTCTTCTGGGCTTCGGATTCGTGGGTGGGTGGGCTTGCTTCACAGCTCCCTGAAATGGCGGTGGGGGTGGGGGTGGTGAAGGGGAGGGGGGTCTCTCTCTGCCTTGGCAAGAAGCAAAAAGGAGGGAAAATTTTGTCCCGTTCTGAGGTAATTTGGAAAATTATTTACCGATTGTTTGTCCGGGTTTGTTCTGAGGTAATTTGGAAAAGGGGGAAGCCCCGATTGTTTGTCCATTTGTGGTTGTGGAATCTCCGCTGTCGCACGACTTGGGAGTCATTCCAGGCTACGAGATAAGAAAAACCCCAAAGCAGAAGATTACAAAAAGAGCATCTTTCCACCCAACAGGGAGAATGGAGGGAGAAACAGCCCCAAATGAACCTTGCTCTCGCGCAGCCCACTTTGGGGAACTTGGGCCGGGAAGAGACCGACCGTTTTGTGTTCTGCTCCTTTTCCAGGGCCACCACCAAGCCCATTTTGGTGCTGCTCCCTGTCTTGGGCCTGACCTGGGTGTGCGGCATCCTCGTTCACCTCAGCATCACCTGGGCTTACATCTTCATCATGCTAAACTCCCTCCAGGTGAGTTCGGGTGGACTGAAGCTTCTCTCCCAACATCTGCAGAAGGTTCAGTAGCCCCGGGCAAGGTCTCCTGGTCTAGCAGGAGTCGCGAGAAGGCAGAACCTTTGCACCCCAGGGCCACAGGCGTGGCGTGAACCCCAAAGGGTCATTGCCTGAGCTCGGCTGTTGAATTGGGAGCCCCGAAGCACGCACCTTTTGATAAGGCAATTAACCTTCCATCAACCAATCAATCAGAATAGAGCTGGAAGGGACCTGGGAGGTCTTCTAGTCCAGCCCCCTGCTCAAGCAGGAGACCCTAGATCATTTCAATCAATCAATCAATCAGAATAAAGCTGGAAGGGACCTGGGAGGTCTTCTAGTCCAACCCTTGCTCAAGCAGGAGACCCTTGACCATTTCAATCATTCATTCAATGAATCAATCAGAATAGATCTGGAAGGGACCTTGGAGGTCTTCTAGTCCAACCCTTACTCAAGCAGGAGACTCTTGACCATTTCAATCAATCAATCAATCAATCAATCAATCAATCAATCAATCAATCAGAATAGAGCTGGAAGGGACCTGGGAGGTCTTCTAGTCCTACCCCCTGCTCAAGCAGGAGACCCTTGACCATTTCAATCAATCAATCAATCAATCAATCAGTATAGAGCTGGAAGGGACCTTGGAGGTCATCTAGTCCAACCCCTACTCAAGCAGGAGACTCTTGACCATTTCAATCAATCAATCAATCAATCAATCAATCAATCAATCAATCAGAATAGAGCTGGAAGGGACCTTGGAGGTCTTCTAGTCCAACCCCTACTCAAGCAGGAGACCCTCGACCATTTCAATCAATCAATCAATCAATCAAAGTATACAGCTGGAAGGGACCTTGGAGGTCATCTAGTCCACCCCCCTGCTCAAGCAGGAGACTCATGGTTTTCTTAGATGCTCCTATGGGGACCATATATAGTCAACAACTGCCCCCTGGTTCAGGAGTGTTAGCGAAGAATGCTAGTGGGAACCTCAGTCAGAAAGTTTTGCTTGAATTTTCCATCCTTTCCATCCTCCCTCCCTCCCTCCTTCCTTTCCTTCCTTCCTTCCTTCCTTCCTTCCTTCCCTCCCTCCCTCCCTCCATCCATCCATCCATCCCATCTCCTTCCTTCCTCCCTCCCATCTCCCTCCCTCCTTCCTTCCTTTTTTCCTTTCTTCCTTCTTCCCTCTCCCTCTCTCCCTGCCAGCCTCTCTCCCTTTCCTTCCTCTCTCCTTTCATCTTTTCCATCCATCCTCCCTCCCTCCCTCCCTCCCTTCCTTCCTTCCTTCCTTCCTTCCTTCCTTCCTTCCTTCCTTCCTTCCTTCCTTCCTTCCTTCCTTCCTTCCTTCCTTCCTTCCTCTTTCCCTCCTCCTTCCTTCCTTCTTTCCTCTCCCTCTCTCTCTGCCAGCCTCTCTCCCTTTCCTTTCCTTTCCTTTTCCTTCCTCTCTCCTTTCATCTTTCCCTCCCTCCCTCCCTCTCTCCCTCCCTCCCTTCTTCCTTCCTTCCTTCCTTCCTTCCTTCCCAACCTCTCCTATTTTTCTCTCTTCCTTCCTTCTCTTCTGCCTTCTTTCCTCATCTCCCTGCACCCCCCCCAGGACTAACTAGTCATCTAACCTACCCAAAAATAAAATGCACAACTCAACCCAGGAATCAGACTCAAACACGAACAATTGAGCCTGCTCCCTTTAACCCCTGGCGAAGATTGCTTGGAACAAAACAGTATTTAATTGCCGCAGCTTAGCGGAGGGGATGCTCTGGAAAAGACAGGCAAATATTTACGGGCCCTGGGATGTCAGCTTTCCTCCCCCTTAAAAATTTCCGCCGTCTTAAGAACCAGGTGGATGCAAACCACGCTGAGCCAACCGGGAGGGCAGGAGAGAAATAAAGAGACAGAAAGTGTGTGTGAGAGAGTGTGGTTTCTGTGTTTGTGTGTGTGTGCGCCCTGTCTTCCCACCCGTGATGCTTCTTTGCATCTGCAAAGAGCGCAACAGGCTGATGGGCCCCTCCTTCCACCTGCGTGGGAGTCCTGCGGCTTGCAGAGATACCGGCTGCAATTAATGCGTCAGCTGGCAAAGTTTTGCGATAGCCAAAGGAGAACAAGGGGGGAAGCGAAGCCCTATCAGATGTAAAAAAAACAAAAGCAGCAGAGCTGAGCACCGAGTGCAAAGTTGGGTTGATTTATAGCTAGGAAATAAAATTCTGAACCAAGTGGGGAGGGGGCCCTGAAGACCCTCCCTGGGCCAAAACCTGTAGAGGGTGAACAGACACACACACACACACACACACACACAGAGCGCCTGTTTGCAGAGGGTCCTCAATTCCACAAGGCGAGACATTTCTTCAAAGGGAGACATTTTGGGTTCCAGAAAAACAAAACTCACCAGTCTCAAAAACTGTGCTCTCCTGGCACAGATTTTTCTTCTTCTCCCCAACAAGAATTCATTGCATAAATAGCACATTGCACAGAATTATCGCAGGGGAAGCCAATTGCCAGGGTGAGGAAAAACCTGCATTTCTGCAAAAGTGTTCTTGTGTGACTTTTGTGGGTCCGGCTCAGCTTTGATTCCTTCTCTGGGAAATGGGCGATTTATCCAACCGTTTCGCTCCATTTGAAACAACAGGATTTCTGTTAAGTCTGGAGCGAGCTAGCAGTAATTTTGGGGTGCTTTTAAGTCACAAAGGATCATGTTTATCATCAGGGAAAAAAAATATGTGTTTATAATTTGGCTTGAGAGGGAAAATTCAAGAGCCGAAAACCAGGAAAACAAATACATCTAAAGGACTTTTCTGAAATAAAAGATTGTTGTTTATAATAAGGGATGTGGAAATAAGCCCTCAACAGTTATTAATAATAAAACATCAGGAAATTAATCACCGGTCTTAACTCTAATGTGCATTTCAAGAGCAAATAGAAACCAGCAAGTCTGTCAGTCAAACTACTTTGGCCACTTACTTTTTAAATACTTATCTCCTGAGAACAAAAAGGAAAAGTTTTCTAAATTGTACAAAACATTATT